ACATCTGCAGAGCTGGTTACAATCGGGTCCTTCAGATCATCTTCCGTCATACTGTTTAGTTTGTCTTTTCGTGCAATAATTTCCTTGAAGTACTCCTCGCTGCAAGGAAGACGAAACAACCAGACAGAAACGAAAAATAAATCTCCAGTTGCTGAAGCTGTGCACGTCTAAATCCTTGCGTAAGAACCATATAAAAATTCAGATCCAAAAAACCAAGCGTACCTGAAGGCGGCCTCGTTCTCTTTTGCTGCAGGACTTAATTTACAGAAAAGCACAGCCTTTACTGTTTCTGCGTCTGACTCCGTGAGCGTATCAACCACACTGGTTTTTGCACACTTTGCAATGACGCAGCCGACTTTAGTGCTGCTGGCTCCGAGAAGGTGCATCACGCTAACAGCCTTTTCCTTCGTCCACATCGTCGTCCACTTGTCTGCATCTGCGGGGTACGTTTGGCTGTTGGAAAAACATACACGATCAGTGCAGCACAACGTAAATGTAATGATTTGAAGTTGGGTGAGGAGAAAGCGGCGGCGGTAGCATGGTAGATATGCTATGTGTCATTGCTGTGTCTTTGGTTTGCTAAGAAAGTAGGTTGAAGCCGCTTGTAGCAAAGATGAATATCGTATCTCCTTACGTGAATTCTGCCAGTCCGGCGTTTAGAGCCTCCTGCACCAGTGCACGGTAGTCTGGCTTATCAGTGTAAGTGAAAGTGTGATGGAAGAACTTCTTCTGTACACGCAGAAAATGAACAAAACAACAAAACAGCTCTCCTATGTCCAGCCTGTCTCAGATAATCCTAGGAATAAATGCATTTCCGTCGGGTCTGACGACGGTGCTTTGAATTCAGAGCTGCGGCTGATGCTGGCACAGCAAAAGCCGTAATAACATCATGCAAACAGGCCTTTTATGGTGGATGCGCTCACAAGGTCGGCTGTTAACAATTCATCGCACGTTGCTTGAGGTGATTCTCCGTCGGCCTTTACTTTTTTCTCCAAGGCGGTGACGGTCTCAGTGTCCTTTTCGGCTGCGCTGATCTTGGCCGAAATTTTTCCATTACGGGCCAACTTGACCGTCAAGTAGGCGTCTGCAAAGAACAAAGGCGTAGAGGATAATCAATGTGCAAGGAAGAGACCTCCGTTTGACTCAGCAGAGTAGTTCACGGCTAGACAGCAAACAATACGGGAGATAACACAAGCAATATGGAAATTATAACGGGTAATACGTTTACCGTCGCCTGCATGTGTTACTTCATATTTATATTTTGTTACGTTGGCCGCCACCGACTGGAGCCCGAAGAGTCCGACAAGGCAAAATGCTGCGGCGGTCTTGAAGAAGGGAGCCATTGCGACGGAAGGCAAGAAAATTTTTAAAAAAGTGTTCTAGAGAAGAGAAATATAAATATTCAAATTCAGGAGAGCGGAAAAGACGGCAAGCAGTTCGGAGTTCTTTCCGTGGTCCTGCAGTCGCGTGAACGGCGAATGGCAGAAAACGGGACAGCAAAGCCAAAATTGCAAGCAAAAGATAAAATTAAATAGATTAATATTGACCAAAAATAAAACAAGCAGAAATTGTTGTTCATGACTTATCCTCTGAAACAAACCATTTAATTTAAACAAATGCAAACAACAAGCAAAACCAGACACGGCAGGTCGGCAGGCGCGCCAGGTCGAGGTGGCACGAGGTGACATCTCTGTGGGTTGTTGTTTTCGCCTTGGTTTCGGGTTGCGTCTGCCTTCTCATACCACTCAATGGTTACAATCCAATTAAACAAGTCATTTTAGTTCCAATTAAATCTAGATCCATCTCCAAAAACGCCTTTTATGGGGGGATACAGCGGGAAGCCCACTCCTGCTCATTGCGGGGGGTGCTGTGGACACCTTCCGGTGCTCTACGACTGGGCTTGTTTGCGCTTTGACGGCCTTCATGTGCCCTTTATCCGTGGATCGTGTTATGGCTTAGTGCCACATGCAGACAGCGCAAGCAGCGACAATGGTGTACGGCAGCTTCCTTGGTGTTTGCAGACGTCTCCAGAGCCAGTGGCTTGGCTGTGGTGGCGGTCTGAGCGAAGGGTCGATGCTGGTGTTTGCACAGGCAATGAAGCATCATTTCTCCCTAAACCGAAATAATAATTAATTAATTTATTAAGTTGTTTAAGTGCAAAGAAACACCGTTGATATACCCCAGCTAGTCTCGAAAAAAAATTGAACAGAAGTTCTAGGTTCTACGCTTCAGGGTGTAGGGTTTCGGGGCTTTATGGTTAGGTAATTGAAACAGGATCTGAAGCCCGATCCGCCTGAAACTGTGTTTTGAATTTCTGCTGGAGTGCGGGCTGGTTGCTGACGGCCAATGAATGGGGTAGCGTATACCTGCACTGTTAATATCTGCGGGGGAGTGGTGCGTGGATATGCATACCTAGGACCGTCACGCGCTGCAGCAGAGTGAACACTTAAGACGAAAGTTTTAAAACAAACTGCTGAGAATCTTCTCTCCATTCTTTAAATGCCCTAGTCACGGAGGTACAATGGCCTGAGACTGACGTTGAGAGGGGGTGACCTCTGGCGAGTTGCAAAAAAACCTGCTGCTGCCTCCTGCAGAGCGGTTGTAGATTAGAGGATAAGCAGCTGCCTTGATCTTCTTAGCTAGTTTGTCAAATTAAGATGTGGACTTCTTTTTTCTCTCAAAAGCATCAACTTCTTGCTGAGGAGCCGCCTGTACAAATCTGCGTCGTTGAGTTCAAGGCGGTGGTGCGGCGAGTAGAAGAAGATGAATTTCAGAGTACTAATGAGCAGAATGATGAATTATATTCAAGGAACAGACAAAATATGAGTAATAAAGCACTTTTTATGAATATAGTTGTACACAATAATAAAAAATAAATTGGAAGAAATTTCTCGATCCACATTGACTGCAGATAGACTTCCTGTAAGTCTCTTCTTGGGCAGCTTAGTTATACAAGACGAGCCAAGGTATAAATATATGGTACTACTGCAACAACATATATATATATATATATATATATATATATATATATATATATATGTATATATAT